TCTTGTCAAGGCGGGATTCAAATGTAAGTACGACAATGCTGCAAGGATATCCAGTGGCGCTTCTACTAAAGGCAGAGCCAGGGAAAGATTAACGAATCATTTTAAGTGAAAATGAAAACTTCAGTTGGCTTTTGAAAAGGAAAATCTTTAATTTACAGTTGGAAAAGTTTAACTACTGAAGAACTACGTTATGTGTATAGAGTCAATTTTGAATTTCCATCTTCTAAAACTGGTACTTCTAGGAGAATGATGCTGGTCTCATATCCCTTATGAATGTGAACATACGGCGGAAAAACCTGTGCTGGAAAGTCGAACCATTGTGGATCATTACTCAATGATTCTAGTTCTGCTTTGTTCCTAAAGACGTTATATATAAAGACGTTTCGTTGAAACTTTTAACGAGAAGACTGTCACTGATTGCAGGAAGTTCTCCCACGAGAATTGCAGCGTTTATAAAAGTCGTTTTGATTTTTTTTTTTATTTTTCAATATTTTCTTTTAAGATATGAAGCATACTACGAAAGAGTGCCGGTAGCATGCGCTTGTCTGCACACCAAGGAAATCGAGGCTTAGAATGGTAGGAAAACGTTCAAGACAGGAGAAGGCAACTAACAGCGATCGAGGTACCCGGAAGGCCCTGTGTCGGTAATTATTAGGACTTAGCAGGCAAAGATGTGTAAAAGTCTGATTTGCATTTGAACTGGAAAACCAAAAAATGTTTGAACGTGTATGAGAGAGATTTTTGTCTTTGCTACATATCACAGGAATATGTGGCCAAGACAAAAATTTCTCTCATATATTAGTTTTGAATACAATGCAAACCCTAATTGCAGTTTTACAACACAAGTTTGAAATTCTGAAATTTCAGGAAACAAAGGCAAAATATCTAGCTAAATAAAAACATTCGTTTTTGGACATCCGAAAGGGCGTTTCGGCTGTATTTGGAGGGGATATATTAATGCTTAACGTTTGTTGATAATTAAATTTGAATTATATAAGCCTATTTATCCTCCTATTTATTAAAATACAAAATATGACCGTATTTATTTATATTTTGTCATTTGCAATACCCATCGCTGTGCAATGCATTTTGTAGTAAATGAAATTTATTTATCTAATTTATAAATGATGTCTATTAAGATTTAATGCAATCAAGTGTTCATCCACTGACGTGCCACAGAAAATATGAATGTTTTTTCTATTTATATAAATTGTATGCAATACAAAATGATTTTTATTGATAATCTGTTGTTGATTCAATTGTCGAATCAACATGGTTGAATATTTCATAACAAGAACCGCTGCATTAAGCAGTGATCGAAGTAGCACATATTGTGCTGAGAACTCATTGAATTATGTTGGCCATTTTGTGGCTTTGACTTTGTAACTTGCGTTTAAAGAATTCTATTGCAAAGTTTTTCTATATTTATACTTCTGTAATGTATTTTTTACGGAAGCTGGCAAGTGCCAAGGGAGAAGAAGATCTTAAATATGTTGTAAGATGCACGTGAATTTTTGAACCATTATCTGGCCACTGCCGGGGAGCGCTTCAAAAATTTCACGCGAATATAAAAAGGTAATTCTTCTCATACTCTGATTTTGAGAGGGGTTCGCAGTTGTAGTGTGTAGGCTTATGTAGTCGTCAGGAAGATAAGTCAACTCTGAGTTTCAGCTGTAAACTTAGTTCAAGACGTAATTGTAATTTGGAGGGAGTGCTGCTTGTAGTCCTCCCCAAACCCCAGCAGGCACGTAACCGAGTAGGTAATAGATGGCTGACTTTGAGCCGTCATGTGAGGGCGCACCACAAAGGGATCGGGATCACCTCATCGACGATCGATCATTCACTAAAATCTATTTTAAAAACGTCAATGAAATTAATTTTTCAAACCACATAGAAACGTTTCAATGAAAAAGAGCCGCCGGGTAGGTTAAAGAAAAATTCAATAAAATCCGATAATGAAAATTTTTGTTGCAATAAGCCAAAGTCAGGTTTGCTGATTATCTTTGTACCAGAGATAAAAAATTAGAACTATAGATTACTAAAATAGATTTGCAGTCTGCAGTTTTTTTGGCAATGCGTATTGACAGAGCTCATTTGTATATAAATGCATAATATTTGCTGATTGTATGGAGTTTAGTTTTATGATTGTTCACGTACTATTAAGTCTGCTATTCCATTGAATAAAAATTAAAATCTTGTTAATTCACAGTCCATCTTCAATGACTAGCTTCTTGCACCAAGACTGGTATTACAATGAATCGCTTCGATGACTCGAATCGAGTCTGACTTATGACTTGACTGGAATCCACTCAAGTCACAGTACTTGGCAATTCGACTAAACTTCCAAGTGACTAACTTGACTCGCTCAAGTCATTCCTCGACTAGTAGACCGCTTCGACTCTTTCATCAGAAGATTTGACTCAGGTCGAAGGCTAATGACACCTGAACCCCAAATTTAAGTTAAAACTGCGGTGATTTTGAATGTTCAAATGTTTGCATTCTTCGTGTTAACGTCTGGTTTTAGCCGCTTATCCATATCGGGTAAAAACACTCGCCATATCACAGATCAATTCCCATGTCTTGTTTTTTAAATGCATTGCTTACCTAACTACCCCACTGAGAACACTGCTTTGCCCAGTTTTTGGTGCAAGTTTGAGAGCAGACCATTGGTGAACCACTGTTCGGTTGACCAAGTTCGGCCTCCCGAACTTCCATGTTTATTTTCACGCTCTACGAAATGAGACGATTTTTTACATTGACTTGTGGTGTTAACTAATTAGATAGCATCTGTGACCTGAAGTGACTCGCAATCGAACAAAAACTAGACGCAACTAGACTCGATCACACAGTGTGAATCCATCGATTTTTTCTTGATTCTATTTATTATACTTGTCATGAGCCACTTTCGTGAAATGACTCGACTCGGCTCGAGTCACGAACCCAGTGACACCTTCTTACACCGTATGTGCAAGCAAGAACATGTTAAAAGTAGCATAATCGGCCAAGGGGAGAGCAGTAATCGAACATCAACGTTTCCGTGTGTCACTAGATATTTTAGTGGTTATCAACACTAGTTTCATGGGTACCTTCTAAAGATGGTTTTCTCACGACTATAACGCATTGTAGTGCGTTAGTATAAACACGGCTGTCGCCAAGACTTTTTCCACGAGAGGGATAACAAAGAACTCAGCAGGAAACCTGATAAACAACGACAGATGGAAGGGGGGTCAACTCGGAAGGCCTTATAAGGGTAGCTGCAATCAATGTTTTTGATTGTAAACCTGTAAAATGTACTTTTGTGCCCCAGTAAACCTTATTTTCAATTTTTTCAAAGGGTATTTTAATGCCTTTTTGGTTGTTATGCTAATGAGATTTCCATGTTCATGAGCAAAACTGTGATGTCATCCCAGGAAAAAGCCTCAATGTTACATTGGTTTGTACACAAAAAAGTCCAGCGTTTTGGTAAAGTTTCCTGGACTAAGTTTTCTCTTCTTTGCTGATTCATTGTTGTTTATGTGCATAGCAATAAGAAACCATCAACCTCTCTCTGAAATGTTATCAGTTGGTAAATTCTGGGTTCACAATTTGAACAGAAATACCTATGCACTGCACCATGTCTTCCCAGCAACAGCGCCCCCAGTTGTCCGGGAAAACATGGTTGATTTTGATTGCTTAATAAAAAGTGTGCACTTTTCAATTCATTTAACCAAACAGGAGCGTGGAAGAGTGTTAATACTATGAAGAAAAATATAAAGATGTAAAAAATTGTGTCGCAGAAAAAAATTCATCGTAGCTACACTTTAAAACAAGTTTTTGATCATCGTCCCTTTAATCTCTCTGGTTTTGCTTCTACGTGTACTTTTTCATTTCTTTTTTCCCTTGTTAATTATTTTTTCTATTTTTTCCCTAATTTTTGGGGGGCATTTTTTTGTGGCACCCATGAGCAAAATCATGGTTTCATACTGATTTTCCCTGCCCAAGAAATTGTTCAGCTCTTAACCCATTCAAATGTACGGTCTCATCTTTCAAAATCTCAAACAAACATTGACGAGAATATGCCTACAGGTCTCCTTTAACACATTTGCCAATTTCGATTTCCCCAGGATGTTTTGACATTCTTCTCTCATTATAAAAACACGTAGTTTACGTGCTTATAGTGTAGGTCACTGTACAATACCAGGAAAAGCAACCTTTAACAAATACATGTACACGTAAACTTGGTTGTCCTTGGCCGGTTCAATTATTAAGGGACAATACGAGTTAGCCGCGTTGGACCAACTCACTCGCCAAGGTTCACCAGTAGGGCAGAATTATACCTCATTATTACGGCTGATATAATAATCTACCATGAGTGGCTAGCTTTGCACGCCTCTCACTGACATCACCATTCAATCCTCTCCCAAGGAGACGTAAGCAAGGGGAGCAACACTGCTGGTGAAACACACAGGTACGTTGATATTTTTACTGGTAAGCCCCACTCTTTATGTCTCCTGCATGGAATGGTCAGACAGCATTGCCCCTTTTGTCCGATCACAACTTCACATCAGGTGAACTATGGCGAAACCAGCGCGTTATTATGCAGACTTTGTAAACATCGATTTACAGCAGGCCAAGTTGCCATGTCTTGTATGTGGTAGGTGATCAGGAGGATGGGTTTTCACTCGGGAAATTGGGATCGTATGTACTATGCATGCACCAACCGTCCACCCATGTATCTCAACGGTTACTTTATGATTCTCGCTGCAAGTATCTCGCTGGCCTTTCTGCATGTTAACCAGTGACAGAATAGACTTGAGTCAAGTCTAGTGACAGAAGGGCGCAGGCCTGAGGGAAAATAAATTCAATTGGCTTCTATGTTTGGGGGGGGGGGAGTAGTCTATGATGATAAGTCTATAGACCTTTTCACCACTTGAATAAATGTAAACAATACCACCACGAGTGGACCGCCTCGGCCACGGTGATCGCGTATATTCCTAGGGGCAGCTTCAACCACGTGCAAGCGCACCTGCTAACGCTGCATGGTTGACTAGTGTATCTCGAATAGCTAGAGCAACATCACTCATTACCATCACAACACATCATAGGTCCAGCACGATCGTGACATCACATAGCTATGAGCTATATAAATTGATACAGCAATGACTGTGAACAGCCAGAATTAGAACCCATTACTGCGGGACGATCCGGTTGCACTCTGGTGTTACAACGACAAGGTGTTTCGACTTTGCAAAGTTTTGTAGGTGCACGCACTCCGAGGTGAGTTAAGGACCTGTAAGCAAAGGCGTATTCAGCTTTAGGTGTGTGTGTTGGGGGAAATCAAAAGCGAATGCTGCTTCGGGATCTTTCAACATGACGTTGGGGAAAATAAAATCCTTACTCAGGGTCCCGACATCCTGGCTTTTATTTGCTTCAGATTTTTTTTGGGTTTCATTGCTGATGTTTGAGAAATGAATACCGATTGATTTCTTTTCTACTCACCTATGAAGTATTCTAAACAAATTCCGCGGGGGGGGGTTCAAGTCCCCCCCGCTGGATACGCCACTGCTTGTATGTCCACAGTGTGTGTTATGGCCCACCCCGCAGTGTTGGATAATCGGAGTCTCCCAGGGTCAGTCTACGGTGCCAAAAGTGTCGTACCTAACAAGACAAATGATGTCAGAGTTTGTAGATTTCAAGAGGTCGCAACGTTCGCCCCCCTGGCCAAGAAAATAAATAACCCACGGTATCCATGTCAACAGACAGTTGTTCCATAAGTTGGGTCTATATCAAACACACGAGATTTGATATGTTAAACGCATGAACGCTAGCCAAGATCGTCCTTTTTGAACCATGTAAGTTATAAACACCGCTACTTGACATTTTATGCATAAAATTTGCTTCCACCATTTTTGGAGACACACCTTTAAGTAAGTAGGTTGGCATTAAAGGATGTTGAAATAATTATACACATCACCATAGGCCTATGTGTAAAGAAGGACTATCCAGGGAAGTTAAGTACACAACGAAGGCTGGAACAGTCACTTTGCCTGCCGTCGTCAGGCTGTAGCTTGGAAGCCCCCAAAGAAAGCATTCATCATAGAGGTCTTCTTTTGGGAAAAAAACAGTAAGAGGCTTCACCAACAGCGACAACTACATGCACTAACCCTTCCTTTGTACGAACAAATTTCGCACTCCTCCAACAAATTATCCGGGATCATACGCATCCAGGTAGTAAATATGAGACTCATGTATAAAAAGTATCTTATTATGTTTCGTCTCATGGAAAGACCTCTCTTAGTGAAAATGTCAACCTACCATCCAGTCATGCAAGACCAGTTTGCATTCAACTTACCACAAAACAAGGGCACTAGAGGTACACCGATATGCATGAGCAACTTGTCGTGAACAACCTCGCTCAACAGGAAATTCGTGAATCTGAAAAGTGCACTTTTTATCAAAACAGAAAGAAAGGTTGATACAAATGGCTGACAAGACAGAGCAGGATTACAAGACGGAAATGGTGGCATGTTTACCGGCTGTGCTACCACCAGACGGTGAAGCAGCATTAGCGATGGTTCATCCAGATATTATTGATAAGTGAGTGTTGTAACCTGGAGAGTTTCACGCAAAACACAGTGTGGTGTACTCAAAAGCAGTGTTTCCTGCTGAACGTTTTTGACGGCATACTTGCCACATGGGGCTTTCAGTTTGTAATACTATTCCAGACGCAGATCCATAGGGGTGGGCCTTGGGTACCCCTCCCCCGCTCTGACACACAAAACAATAATTAAGTAACAATAAGATCGTAATAAAAATGACATGCTGTAACGGTTATTATATTTACATCAGTAACAGTGTAATGCATTATCTATGTGTCCGCTTGTATGCAACAGTCTGACATAAAAAATCTGAGGGGTCTAAACATCCCTCGAAAAATTTTCTGGATTCATTCTGTGGTCATTTGCATTGATGTAGTTAAGACAGTTTTAAGACCCCACCTCATACTAATTGACCCAAACTGTTAAAGTACAAGCAGGCACATATAACCATCTTTTGTATGAAAGCATAACCCCATTTTATGATTTCCCTAAAGTTGGATTTTCCATGATCATTAAAGTGTTATAATTTTGCGTTTATATTAATAATTATAATTACATCAAATTTGCAATATTTAGAAGTTACTGCTGTGGTCTAAGATATCCCGACCTGCTGAACGGAATACGCGTACTGAGTCTTGGGTGTGGCTTTGTCAGGGACTGCTACGTTTTAAGCAAGCTGATTGGTCAGGAAGGTTTGGTTGTGGGTGTGGACCCAAACGATCACGTGGTTTGTACAAAGTATTATTGGTTATTCGGAGTTCATTGTTTTATTTTTATTGCATTGGTTAGACATTTGAAGTTTAAAATACTACTGAGGACGAAAGATTACAAAATGAAGATAATTAGATGCAATTAACATTCTGCGATGGATTTGTGTTTGGAGGATGAGTGTGACTCTGATTTTTGAGTGATCGCTTGTAAAAGTTAAACTCTGTCACTGGACGAAACAATATTATGTTAATACATGGTTATTGGTTGCATGATTGTGAACTGGGCGTTATATTTCAATAACTCCCTGTTCTCGATTGTAGGTGTCCGCCAATCGCCTTGCGTTTTTTCCTTTTACAGATATCTTTCTGTGGATCTTTTTTGAAATATCACCGCAAAACGTGTGGTTTCAGTGAAGATAACATCAGACTCGTTAAATGTGAGCCGGATGGACTCATAGAGGCTGGGTTACAGAAGGACTACTTTGATCTCATTTGGTAAGTTGGTTGCCACGAAGATAGGGTCGTGTTTGGTGTAGGCCAACGTTTAGGTGTGTGATAAAAGATTGGTCGGGATAGTGAAGCAAGACACAAAGATTAAACGTAGAAAGATGAGCAGAATAGGAATGGAATTAAAATGCAGACATTCGGAATGAAAGTGACAATTTGCTGGTCACAAGGAGAGATGGAGATAACAAGGAATTCTATCTCAATGAGGATTGAGTATGCAAAGACCGTGTACATTAATATAATGTTGGCTTTTTACAGCTTCAACACAGTTCTTGGTCTTACGCAAAAGAAGCGAGAGATTATGAACCAACTTGGACTCGTTTTGAAGACTGGGGGTGAAGTCTTTTTCACAGAGATGGTTGCAAGCTCCAGGATCAAGGAAGAAGTCAAGAAGGAACAATCATTGTGGGGCAAGTAGTCATGTTATTCACCATAATCATGTTGGTGATGATGACGAAGGTGAAAGGACTAAGGTGACAAGTGCAACTGTGGCCGAATGAGTATGTTGGAGATTGCTGTGAATTGCAAGTACATTTATACTTTTTTGAAGATGGAATACCGTAACCTTTCTTCAACATAAATGACAGGTATCTCACTCAAAGTTGATAGATTTTTTCCGCAAGGAACTTCTCTACGTATAACTGAGTTTGTATTGACGAATTTCCATCTTATTTTAGAAGATTTTGGTGTCTTTCCAAATCAGGCGAAGGTCTCGCTGGAGCGTTTTACTTCGAGGATCTTGTGACTATGGCCCAAGAGTTTGGGTTCTCTACCCCTAGACTTGTCCAGTCTACCGATATGAGGATCAAAGAGCCGGAACTGGAAAATTTCATCGGTACAGTCTAATATCATGAAATCAAGAGAAATGAAACAGCTGCAGAAACATGCATAATTATTCTACAATCCAGAAAATACAAGAACAGACATGAACATCAAACATAGTGATTTTACTTGCAATCACAGATCGATCAGGTGTGCAGTCAAAACCCACTGTAGGCCTAACCCCGAATTCGACACAACACTCCACATGCCCAGCTGTTTAAGTTGGAAAATCACGATTGGTTAGTCTTGCTTATTCTTCTTTTCGACAAAGGGGGAGTTAAGTTTTCCATGGCAACCTATCGAATGTTTAAGCTGCCGCACGACAGAGTCGACCAGACAGCAGTCCTCGTGTACAACAACCCACAGATGGACACAGATTATGTGAACGTTATAAAGCTCGATAGTCGTAACACATTCCAGGTAAACCATTCATCGCATTACTTGTGGACTGAATTCTATTTGCTTTCAGGGGAGGGATTTTTTTTTATAATACCGACACTTTTGTGAAGCGAAACGAAAGGTTTATAATTTTCTAAATGTTTTGAAACCTTCAACTCAACGACACACAAAACGAATCTAAAAAGTACAATTTATTTGCAAGACATTTCCGAACATTTCTGACAGATACCGATATTTGCCAGTAACAATAAATCGAACTCAACCGTTGTGCTCAACCAACTCAGGCCAAACTAGGATTCAACCAATATGACCAATACACAATGTAGAAATGCTATCCATTCAGGATCTATGCACAAGCTGTATTTTCATTCCATCTGTCACAGAAGGGAGCACCAGTTCAGGTAGATGCAGAGACGGCGGCCATTCTGCGCATTTCAAGATTCGCAAGTGTCTTCAAAACTACTCGTGAAAAAGAGGGTCAAGTTTCAGAGGTAACGCCTCCTATCTGTTCTGTCTTCTTTTCATAGGTCATTGCTATCCCTGTTTTGTTATGATTAAAGCGGTTAGCAGTGCATTCTTTGCACAATAGCGATCGCTCAACACGAGTATACATATTAAACTCGGTCACATTCCGGGTCTTTTATTTCTTTACCAAGCTCAATGATGTCGGAGTCTGGCAAGTCCTTAAAAAGGATTAGGCTACAGAATTGCTAGAAAAAAATATAAAATAAAAAAGTGAGAATACACCTTTTGGAATATTACGATTCGGTTGTCGGAATTCTGATGGCTTACTTATAACGGGAAGAATTCATCAGTTTTATTTGTGATGATGACATACTTAAAACTTCTCAAAAACAAACACAACAAAATGTAGAAATTTTTTCAAAATGACAAAATAGTTACAGTGCAATTCAAATAATACAAGCTTCTCCAAATTCTTGATTGAAAAAAATAGCTGTGCAAATATACACTTGTTGAAAGCTTTTGACATATATTTATAGTGTTAAGGAACTCAAGAAAGCAATTTACTTGTCATCGGTACTAATCAACATCAATTTACATTTTGTATATCTCCTTACAGCCATGTCCAACAAATCCATTTGTAGCAGAGTAGACAAGCGTGTAACAGAAAAAAGAAACGTGCGTCATCTGCATGTAAGAGACACTATTCAAGGAGAAGGGGTGAGACTTAGACTGCCTGGTGGGCAGATCTGCAGCATTACATTTCTACATATCTCTACATACTTTCATCTCTAGGTATGAAACTATGAAAGAAAATGAAACCTAACTTCAAGTGCATGTGGGCAGGCATTATGGGTTTAAAAAAAGATACAAGCTGTACAAATAGGATTAATGGTGTGAATCCCAATGGTCAAGAAATTACAGCATGCTAATAAACTCTTTTATAAACTAGAATAACCTATCATATAGAAATAAGAATAGCTTCAATTATTCCGAACAGTTAAAAATTGAGGAGTGGCAAATTGGAAACTTTATTTAAATAATATCCTTTATGACTGAGTATACTGAGTGGTGATATTCCAGACTAGTACAAGCTACTGGAGGAACTCATTGAGTAGTTCCTCTCCCCTCCTTCCATTAGAAACTTCCTCCAATTCGTTAGGAGCTATTCTCATCGACCATTTAGCTTCCTTAAGCAGCAACCTTTGACAGTTTCACATCCTGAAGTTGAGGGGAAGTAAAGAGTTTCTTAGTCATCTCTGAAGATGTTGTAGTCACACTGTGTCTGCTGTGGTCTTTGAAGTGGGTGAGCTAGCAACATAGCCATCTTCTCCTGCAGCATGGCACTGTCTCGTCCTACCTCGTGGATGTAAGATGTGTTGTGTACATCCAGGTTCAAAAACACATCGTAAATTTCCTGTATATAAAAGCCAGGATTTTAACCCAAAGATAACAAATCTGAAAGTGGGCTAGAGGGATTTGAAGTGCAATTACCCAGGAGGCTTTAGGAAGCCAACAAGGGGTGCAATTGCTACTCAAGTTGAAACCAGACATCATTTTCTGTATGCCAACTGGATTATATAAACAGATATTCACTGACAGTAAATTTGCTTGCCACCCACCTTGCAGTAATTATCTTCTGTTGGTGGTTCGTGGACGTAGAAAACATCAAAGAAGAAGTAAGGAGATGAAGATAAATTCCTCAGTGACTGGAAGGAAATATCAACCAAAAAATAAAGTTGTATTATTTAGACTTATAGTCTTTTCTTGTATGTTATATGAATCTGACAAAAACATGAAATTTATTGATTAAAGCTGCTGGCTGCCATTCAAATGAAATAACCATCTACATTTACTAAACTTATCATTTATGTACACTTAGGGGCAGTAATCTTTCTCTTAAATGATTTCTACAAATTTATTTTTCATTTTGTAGATACTTTCTATTTGGATTTAGAAGTTAATATAAGAACACTGAATGACTGATGCACTGAGCAACACAGCAATAAGATGACTGACAGCCTGACCAACTAATCAACTGATAGATGAAAACATTTTATCCCTATCTTTGAATCCACCTTAGCCTGGGAATATATGACAATAAGACCTTTGCCATTTGTTGTCAACAAACCTGACTATTTCCTCCATTGTCATTCAGTTGAGGAATACACCTTGACCGTCCGTACACAAACAGTGTTCTGATGATGTAGGGTGGTGGTAAACACTCAATATCTTCAATGTCAGGTGACTGAACTTTCTCATGTCTGTATCAAAAAGACAATGGGATAGGAGTCTTTGTTAAAAATGTAGAACTCAGTAGCTGGTCTAAAATGTATCAAACGTTTAGCATGAAGAACATAATTTTACAAGCATTGTCCGTATAAAAATACGGACTTCATTTTTCCAGCAGCAGAGTTGTACTTGATATTTTGAATCAGTTGGTGGATAGAATTATCCTGGGTGTCAACTACATTACCCATGGGTGAAAAATAATAGTAAATGGCTGTTGCAGTTCATTAAAATAAAAAGCAAGCAAGTGGTGACTAAAGACTTGATTACTTGTGGTAACTTGAATAAAACATGTCACATAATCTAAACAATATCTGTTCTGGATATCTCCTCTTTTGCTACATTATTTTCCATTTTCTGAACTGATCAGTGGCAAGTCACAGAGTGACAGGACTAGTTTGGAATTTACCATCCTCATCTTTAATTCAGTGACAAAGAAAATGAATGGAAAACACTGGTAAAACACTGTCTTCAATAATATTTCCCCCTTCCGGCAGTTTTCTTACTCCTCCCATTTAGAGGTTATTCCATACTCACATGACATCGAAGAGAGATGCCAAGTCACAGTGTTCGCATTCAGCAGTGTCATTGGTCATGTCCAGTAAGACACTGACAAAGTCGTTGACATCAGATGTAAAGTTCTGAATCTGTACACCAAGGATTCAATGCAAGAGCTTACATTATAAAAAAACCAAAACAGCTATTTTTCTAAGGGCAATTACATTGTAAGATGGGTCATATATATTCCCTTGCTTTGATTCAGGAATCTGCTTTTTTTGCCAGGTAATGGGGGGGGGTGTATTAACCAAGGAATCGCATCTTGAATACTTGTCAATAAATGATTTAATTGCTGCAGGGATAGCCAAGAACAATAACATTCTACACGATATCATACATGGACAAAGAAAATGTTCTAGGTTATTATTTCTATTTTCTTCTTTCTTCCTTCAAATTAAATGTGAATTCTCCAAACCTTTCGGGGCTGCTACATGACCTCAACCACAGTGTCTCTTAAAATGGATCCATCACTTCTGCACAATGTATGTACCAAGATAACACACATGAATACCCTACAGGAAAGGTGTTGCTGGACCATTTTAAATGGGGGGGGGCTGCCACATGAAATTTGCCAATGAACCGTCACACAAATTGCGTGTACTGTATCCCTCGTCCTTTCATCTTCATTCTTCAGACCATAATTTTGCCAATACAACTAACCAATGGGGAGGTGGTTGTGACACTCCCAACACCTCCCCTCCCTTGTGATGCTTTGCCTACAGGAACAAATGTCGTGGCCTGCCAAGCACTGTATCTGAGATTGACTATCTCAGCTTGAACTTACCCATAATGCACTTTCCTGCAGAAGGACTAGGGCAAATTCATGTTTAGGGTTGATTGCACTCTTTGTCATCACAAACATGTTCAAAGCTTTCTTGATCATCTCCAGAGGTTGATGTGCTGAGCTGTGCATTATCATAAAAAAAGAAAAATTTTTACACCTTCAAGCTGCTAATGCTTCAGACACAAAGCAAAGTTTGCTAATTCTGCTGTATTTAGTGACTGAAATAAAGCATGCAAGAGTGTATAAACTATTTGAATTTTTGACTAATGAACATTTCCTCACCCATTATTGGCAATGAAAGGTAGTTTGTTGACCTCTGTGGCGATGTCGATACAGATCACCTGTAGGTTTAAGAATACGATTAAAACATGTTAACACTTACATGCATTGGCTTTGCAGGCAAAAGATGATTGCCAGTTATGGAATTTTCCGCTCTTAACATTTAAATCCAAACATTTACATGTAGAACAAGTGTGTATAGGCCACTTAATAGACCACTTCAAATCAAAATTACAAGTTGATAGAAAAATCTCATTTTTATTTAAGTATGAATGAAGCTAAAACAGCCCCAGTATCAGCAGTGCGATTTAACATCATGCACTATCACTAAGTTGTGCAAGTTACAAAACAGATTTATAGATGAACATTTAAGACATCAGCAACACAATTTTTCTGTAGCATTTAAATAATTAAAAAAAAAAACTTGAACTCTGACATCCGTATTAGTTGAACAGTTATCAGATAAACCACTAATAAATTCCTTTACATGTGTGACTCTGAATTTTCATTAGTCAACAAAACATGTCAAAATGTTTGTTAAAAATAAAATTAAAACTCTTTACAGATCGTACAATCTTTTCTGGACAGTTCACATGGGGTAAATTTAGAACAGGAACATCCGTCTCTGGTTCTTGCATCATTGACCCAAACTCCATCTCATTTCTATGGGAACGGTGCTCATCATAATGCATCCCCCTGTCACTTTCTCCAGGTATGCCCAGATGTCTTGCTTGTCCTGCACCAAAATCTGACAAGTCTCTTTCACTTGGTCTGTTGCTTTGAGATTGTTCCATAGTGTCTTCCAATTCTCCCTCATGCGCTTCCTTCCTGAAAATCTTCTCAGCGCTAGCGTGAAGTGACTGACCCACTTGATATGCTTGACCGAGAACTCTGCGGCCGAGCCGGGTGTTAGCCCCACAAGTCCCGGAAGTCGTACCGTGAGCGGTCGTCACGACCGCTTCGTCGTCGATTATATCATACTCTCTGGTCGGCTCAACTTGAGGAACTGCTTGAGCAACTGAGGGAACTGGAGACCTACGGTCAGACATTTTGGATGGCTTCTTTGGGGAGATCTCCGTCGGAATAAAATCTGCATACGTCTTCCCAAAGGTGATTTCTTCAAGCAAGTTCATTATCGTATGGTTTTTTTATATTGACAAATTTTTGTCTGATATCCAAGTTCGCGTGGTAATTAGGGGAGGTGGATCTCCAGCCACATGAAAGAACCAGACTAAATCAACAACAGACTGGTCTGCTAACGAGCCATAATACATGAATTACGTGAATACGTCAAGGGAATAGGACAACCCGGTTGCACGGCTTATCCTGAACGCTTCCTTCTCAAACTTTTCTGTTAGTTTATGTAATGCATTCAATTGTACTTTTTGTGTAACATTTATAGGTTCAATATATCTAGCTCTATGATGAACCTCCAACACATTTTAGCCGGTACAGTTCTTGTACGATGGACATACATTCAAGACATGCGATATGCAAGAAGCATCTCATTCTGAGGGGTACCGTAACGGCACTTTGCATTCTTTATACCTTTAAAAGATGTTAAAAAGTGAAGTAATGTTTGATTTTATTGATATAATCATGAAATAATTATCAAATATTGTTTTTTTATATAAATAGAATGATTTCTTAGCTTAGTGGATTACTAAAAATTCGAGAAATCTTTCGTCTTACACGTTACGACCCCTCTTGAAAAGTGGGTTATGTCGCAGTCGTGATTCACATTCGCTGGTTCCCATCATGATGATTACATACTTCAGAACCTACTGGCGCATGACTGAGTGAGTGGGTACCCATGATAATGATATTTCATATGTACACTGCAAAAATGGACGGTCGGTGAGATTTCCAACTTTGAACCACATATTTATGGTACGAAATTGCCGTTTTCTGTTGAAAATGCGTGGTGTAAAATCTGACAGGTTACATATGTACTAATAGGGTTGCCGCCTTGCAGTCAAAGATAATATTAACCGGCGCATAAGGTTAATGTGACAAATTTGCAATCGGAACAACAAAATTGATCCGTCAGCCAAGTGCGTATGATGAATAAACGGATTCTTTTAATTTACTGAGTGAGTGTTAATGCTCAAGCCAGGCTGGAAGTTTTATTTTGTCTTTGAATGTGTGGAGTTATAGTTTCTCCAACTTTTATATATGTGTGTGCATATAATATATGGCGTGTATCTCTTTATAACACCTTCCAGTTCAGTTAGCTGACCGTGTGAGTCAGTCATATGTCTTTAATTTAAGATTTAATTCTTCCATGGGTAGACCGTCTACGTTTACCTACAGGTTTCCATCATGATGAATTGGTCTAACCATGGAAAAAGGACATAAACGGGGGAAAGAGTTCCTTATACGGATGCTAGTTATTACTTCCTACAGTGACTTATCAGCTATCAAAAGCAAAAACATGTCCAGGAAAGTTCAATTTAGGAGGAAAAATACAAAGTCATTTATTTAGAAATTTTTCAGACCAGTCTCATACTCAGGGTTTGTGCATGGGTGTCAAGTGCCACCTGTATATGGAACTCTTTCCTGTGTTTTCATTGTTTCAGCCAGAGAGATGTCTGTGTCTTTTTGATGCTGGGTTTGTGGGCCATTTGGACACTTCGTTTTGTAACACAAATGCATGTACATGTACGTTAGGGTCGAGTGTTCAGCTTAAATTGTAGCAACTTGGACACTTTGTTTTTCTCTTTGAGGCATCTTTTGGACATACTGTTGGCTGAGTAAAACTCTGGCATTCATGAATTGGTTCTTATACATTTGACTTATTCAGAAATCTGCTTTTTAGGAATCGTTTGTGTTTTGTATGTTGCCAAATTTGTAAGACTTATAGACCCACAAGATGGAAAAACCTCTGCATACATGTTACATAACAAAAGTCAAGCGAGAAGTAAATTTTAAAGCACTAAAATTTTTTTTGAAGGAAATGCATTCTTTTGAGTTCTTTCAAAATTTCACCCAGTCATTAGATGATATTAATTGCTCCACACGTGTGTAAATATTGAAGTGACCCCATAATTAATTATTTTCCCCCTTGCCTTGAATTCAATTCTCAGACTAGTGAGTAGTGTTCATTGCATTATGGACCAATTCATCAAGTGAAGTGTTTTCAGATTTTCTCTTGATGCAGATGAAAGCATTGTAACGTCAAGTCTTTTCTATTTTACTGCAGATTTTGAACTTGCTCACAGCAATCCACTTCTAAGTCAACGTTTCCAGACACTGACCCCTACGACACAAACTCGTCAGAATTTGTCTTGTATAAGTCTTTAGGCATTGTAGACATTGGCTCAACAATGCCTCCTGTCAACCCCCAACAACAGCAGCAGCAACAACAGCAACAACAACAACCTGTCAATGCTGATGCCGCACGCAACAACAATAATAACCCTAACCCCTTACTCAATGTCAGGGACAGGCTATTTCATGCCCTGTTCTTCAAGATAGCGATCACATACGCACGGGCCTTCCCACCATCAGTACGGCGCTTTTTTGAATTTGCAATATTGATTAAGGTGAGTGTTGGAGATATGCAGTACCTGTACATGTAGCCATAACTTTAAGCAATTTTGGCTTTCCTTGTCATGATTTCTGATGTATCTTACCCATTGATAAGCCTCAGAATGGCGGACAGTATTGTGGGGGGGATTTGTACTGAGCGACTGTCATGGAACAATGGCTTCACACAGTAGTTATCGAAGTACTTACCACCATTGATGGGGGGGTCGCTGCAAATGACCAGCGATAGCATTACCTTGGTCACTGGATTTTTCTGGAGGGTAAACTGTTCCTTGTATACGGTTTATTAACCCTTGCTCCTGCAAACCCCCCCCAGTATCTGGGACTCACTGAATTCTTAACTTTCTTGTCAGGTTCTCCTATGAAGGCAGTATTCATTGACATGTATCCTTTAATTTGGTTTAGAAGACAAAAAACACGAATCCGTTCAAAATGAGTTTTGTGAATTAAAACGAAGCCTTTGCCAATAACGTCTGTTCATCTCCATTTGTTTCTGTAAATAGGAATGAATTTATAGCTTTGAATCACTTTTGTTAGCTATTTTGAGATAATTGCTTTTTCTGTTTGGCCTTATCAGTCTGAGGCACAAAGGCTGATGACAAAGTTTCTGGTATATATGTAGCCACCAGCAACTGACCCTTGTACAAGAGTCATGAGGGTATTCAGTTTTAATATTGTGTCTGATCTATGTGCTAAGGGGCAAATTTCAGGACCCACATTGCATGATGTTTAGGGACTGTTTTCCTCATTCACAAAATATTCATGAAAACAGTTCTCTTGGATTTGGAAGTTCATGTAGGATGTTGTGGTTAGATTTTCTGCCAGCAGAGTTCAGTTCTGGAAAATTCCAATTCAGTATTGGATTTCAGAAGACCATTTATCATCTCTTAGCTACATAAAAAACGTTAATGGTGGCAAATACATTGGCATGCAGCATACATGTACATGTTTTTCTCCTTTGCACCTGAATCTAATTGTAAAGATGTACACGCTACTTTTAAAATGTTTCCTGACAGGTTTTTAGCTCCATGATACATTGTACTGTCCTAGTTTAAATAGGTCCTAGGTTAAATGGCGTGGATGTACACAGGAATGAATGCATCACATGATTTCACTTTTGGTCTTCCAATGGTTGTCCAGTTGGACCCGTGATTTCTCCATTCTTGCTGTTGGTTCAGTTTGATCTATAGTGAAAGGATCATATCTATTAAGGCTGTGCCGAATATCTGAAAAACCGAATATTCGATCGATTGTCGAATATTCGAATTTTATTTTTCAAATTTGGATAGTCGAGTGCAAAATTCATGAAAAGGGAAAATTTCGTTTGTTTTAAATGAAAAACATTTCAGAATAGAGGCTTGTTTCAAGTAGATTCAAATGGAAAGCTTCAGAAATCTTACAACGATTTAAAAAAGTTTTAAACGTCAGTTATTCATTAAACAATTTAAAAGAAATAGAAATTTCTGACAGGGCTATAATTCTTGTTCATCTCTTAAATCTTGCTAAAGCATGGTTGGAAATACTCCTAGATGTGAAAAGCTAGTATATGGATCACAATGTACAAATGTGTGTGATATTGCAACTGATTTTGTATATGGTTTGTTCATCAACAATCTGCCGGTTGGTACGACCGAATATTCAGATATTTGATCAAATTAAAGGTTGAATATTTGAATAGTGAATTATTCGAATTGACTCAGCCCTAAATATCTATGGCAAACAGACATGTACCATGTTGTAAGACGGGGTTGTGACATTGAGTTATGTACATACATTGCCCCATTAATGGAGATGCACACAGGACGTACACGTTAAGTGTATGGTTAACATCATAAATGTACACGTACACATACATTTACAATGTACAAAATATCAACTCATTGGTAAGTTTGTAAATTATCATTTGCTCTGAGATAAAGGTGTACCATTGAAAAACCAGTATGCATGTACATTTTTGCTATCCATTTGTTGTACAGAGTCAGATTAGGCAAGGCAAGATACAGTAGAGTTTAATCTACTTGCCAAGTATGACATGGACAGAGTGCTCATTCTGAATGACAGCACAGGCCTCCATGTATATCTCATCTTTGTACAAGTACAAATATGTACAGGTATTATACTTCGCAAATAAGGGAATAAATGTGTATTTGGCCGGTCTTACATGTAAATGTGCATGCTCAGCAAAATGGACGTGACTAATGTCCTGGCCGCAGGCGGAGGGCATCATCGGTGAATTTCCCTGTTGTTTGGTTATCAGTTCACTTGAAGTATTTACAAGTTTAGAGGGATAGATAGAACAAGTGTAATTTTCCATTTGCTGAACCTTTACTGAATGTTTTCCTCTTGAACGGGAAACTGCGGTGGTAAACTATAATAATGGAAACACTGTCACTAGGACTGGCCAATGCATTTAGTAACCTTTAGTTTTGGAATACTCTGCATATACATGTAGCACTGGCTACCACTCTACTGTATATACATGTACATGTAGCACTGGCTACCACTCTTCTGTATATAGCACCTGGTATACCTGCGTTCATATAAAAACCACATGGCTCACATACATGTATGGAGGTTCAACTTGTGGAACAAAACTCATGCTTTGCCGGTGACCTTACTACTATGCAGTACATGTGGTTAAAATAAAATTCTAGGCTCTTTTGAAGTATTATTCAGTTGAGGTTACTGTCAATTAATCCTTTCCATTTGTTTGATTGATTTCAGGCATTGACAGCCTTGTTTGTGTTGGCGTATATACATAGTACCTTTTCTCGTACACCCATCAACTGTCTGGTAGATTACCAGGAGGTTTGGCCTCGTGATGGTATCTTGCGGGTGGAGATTGTTCACAACAGAACCAGTCCGCAAGCGTTCTCCATTTATAACAAGAAGGGACGGACCGACAGCCAGACCAGTACCAGTACAGGTGTGATGAGAATTGATGGGGTTAACGGAATGTGGGTTCAAACCTAAACCGTGGATCTTTGTGATTTTGTGATTCGCTCAGCATCCCAGCTGCAACATCTTGGAATCCAAAAGTCCACATCTACAGACCTAAATGATGAACAAAGTCTTGCTTACCCAGTGACCTGACCTGTTCCCATATTTTGCATATATGTATTTCATGGTAAAGTAAGGATTACAGAAAGGTTTTGTTTTGATGGAAAAAATGGAACCTAGCAATGTTGCCACCTTGATGATTGATCTGTCCATTTGTTCATAGAAACGTATGAGGATGACCTTAATGGATTCAGTCGGGTTCCCATGTTTTGGGAGTATCCTGGCAAGGAAAGCACCAAGGAACCAGACAGTGTCCAACCCTCAGCAGACGAAGCCAATGTGACTGTAGACATCATGGTGACAGAAAAGCCAGTCAAGAACATGCAACCATTCCGAGAGACAGTGTCTGAATTTGAAATGTTCACCAGAGCAGGTAAATCTGCTAGGATGGCAGGTAGTTGTGAAGTCAAATTAAGCCTCAGCCCTCTAATTCACTTGAATTTCCACCTTTAAAGTCATAAGTTTTTCTGCATAAAAAGCACTACATTCGTGGGTAGCCACAACACTGCTTGTCCAGTCACATGCTTACGAAATGTGACAAAGGCACGCCTTTACCCAGAGTATTCCTCTGGGGTTTTCCTCCCACCTCTAAAACTGTAACTGCTTCTCATTGTCTCCTCTCCCCAGGTTTCTTCACGCTTACTAGCTTCAGTGCTTGGGGCACTCAGTTGAGGAATCTTTGACGTCATTACCAGAAATTAAAAAATAACAACATTGGTGTAGTAATCTGATCATCATGTTTATTTTGTCACTATCTTTCATTTAGTATGGCCTGCAGATGAATACATCATGGAGTATTCCTTAGAGTATGGATTCCTTCGATTATCCTCCAGTACCAGAGAGAAACTTGGTATTCCAGTCATGGTTGTGCAGTTAGGTGAGTACAAGATGAAACTTGTATTTAAATAGCTGGTTCATTTCTTCTGTGAATGTTAGAAGTAAAGTTAGCTGGAGTTGAAGCGGGATCAACTTTTCACATTTGAAGTGTCTTCATTTTGACATCGTAGTTTTTGACATACGCTGTCTTATCAGACATAATCTTCAAGTGCCTAAGACTCTTGTGATGGTCATCCTCTGTTACACTGTTCATTGCTAATTGTCATTGATGAACAAGTGCCTTTCTATGCTTTAAAATCTCCAATTTTCCAATCCGAAGTTGTAGTCTGATTGACCAAGTTATACCTATATTACTTGTCAGTGGCTCTTTTGAATTTTCAGCTTAGACGTCAATTTGTAAAAGTGCATAGTAAAATTGAATTTTGAGATGAAATAGTCCAGTGTGAATTGATATATTTGTGTCTTTCTAATCCTTCTAGATCCTACCCAGGATGCGTGCTTTGGAGATTCTCTGAGTCGATTCTTCCTGGAGGAATTTCTTGGCTATGACGATATCTTGATGTCTAGCGTCAAGAGTTTGGCTGAGCATGAAGACAATAAAGGTGAAGTATTATAATTTAGAAACCAAAATTAGAAACCAGTTACTGCGGTGGCACAATGATTGTGGACAGGTGGGGCGCAATGATTGTGGACAGGTGGGGCGCAATGATTGTGGACAGGTGGGGCGCAATGATTGTGGACAGGTGGGGCGCAATGATTGTGGACAGGTTGGGCGCAGTGATTGTGGACAGGTGGGGCACAATGNCTCAATGATTGTGGACAGGTGGGGCTCAATGATTGTGGACAGGTGGGGAGCAATGATTGTGGACAGGTGGGGCGCAATGATTGTGGACAGGTGGGGCGCAATGATTGTGGACAGGTTGTACATGCATGATACGTACCTCTTTGACCAGTAGGATATCCCAATTTGCCAAATGCATGTGTGTGTTGAGTCCCAGAAGGCACATTCAAGTGCTGCACCACCGCAGTTGTGCTGTCTCCTCAGAATTGTCTATACATGCAGGAAATTTGAATATTTAATCTTATATTTGTGTGTGGGGGAGGGGGCACACTGACGGCAGTGTTTAGCGTTTGGCATTTCCAGTCGTGAGGGAGACCAAAGCCAAGAACGTTTCTCCATATAAGTCACAAATCCTTACATGTTTTAGGCTTTGTTTCTTTATCACCTTTGCAGGTTATTTGCGTAATGTTGTAACCGGTGAACATTATCGATTTGTCAGTATGTGGATGGCTCGGACATCTTACATTGCTGCTGGGTTTATCATGCTCATCTTTACCATCTCCATATCAATGCTGCTTAGATACTCTCACCATCAGATCTTCGTTTTCATTGGTGAGTGAAATCAGACGTGTCTCTTGATTTGTCCAACGTTGAGATTTTTCAGAACTGGTCATTAGAGGGCAGCATTCTTTTTCTTTGTGTTTAAGTGTTGTTATCCTGTACACCATTCTTTCCTTTATAAATCTTTGATGCTGCTAAAACATTTTGAAGAAATGTATCAGCATTTATTTGATAACTTTGTTACTGAAATTTCCTTTTTGGCTCATATTTTCTCAGCAAAATTGGGCTCAGCTGGCATGTGAATCCCAGGTCGAGTTTGGGCGGCCTGATCTTAACACAGGTTTGGTGTTCTCGTGCTCGAGCGGTGGGAAGACAACCCAAGAACATTCATAGAACAGGATTACATACCACGTCCTCTTCGGCGTTTTACAGGAACAAGCGGAAAAATGATTTCGATTTTTGAAGATCCACAGAAATTAGTGAGAGATAGCTTTAAAATTCGATGGCAATGTGAAGTTTTGCAAAATTAACATTAATATTTTTTCCTAACACAGAAACGAATGTTCCTTTTTGAATAGAAAAGAACTCAACCGAATCAAGCTGTTCGCGAAAAATAAAACAAGCCGCCCAAACTCAGCCCCAGAGTCAAAGAATTAAAATAAAGACATTTATATTGAAGATGGGTTTCCTCACTTTTGATGATCCACAAGTTAGCAGAAATCGTTGAAATGTAAGGAGTGATATTAAACCATGCCATTTTTGCCTCTTTTTTAGTGGATTTACTGCAGATGTTAGAGATGAACACTGCCATAGCATTCCCTGCAGCCCCTCTGCTTACAGTCATTTTAGCTCTTGTTGGTAAGACTGATCATAATATTCCTCATCCTTCTAAATCCAGCAGTAATTTTTGAAGGATTTTGTAAGATTCATGAAGTAAGAGCCCAGCCATGTTACTTTATACGGAGCTTGATGCCACTTAAAAGTATTAAGAACAAGCAGAAGAGCCAGTGAAGGTCATGTAGAGTCAGTGAAACTGGACTGACCAGTGCTTTTCTCTCAAAACAGAGACAAATAACTGCTTAACCACTACCAGCCGGGGACTCCGAAATCGGAGCCGTATGGTTTATATGTGTGGCCGGCGTCTCCGAACTCGGACAAAGGAAACAGGGCCCTGTAACAAAAGACCATACTCCGAACAAAAGACCAGGCTGCTGGGAATTACCAGCATTTTTCACTCTCAAAAGTGGTGATAATCCAGCGTTATTTTGAAACTGTGTACCAGGGTTTGGGGTATTTAGAGCAAGCGGATTACCACCGGGGACAAAAGCTCTCCACCACCGCAG